ACATGTGCTAGGATTGCCATTAGCAGGGGAAAGTGAAAATGTAAGAGCTGATTATCTAAGGAGATGGTTAAAGATAGAAATTGTGAGCATCCTTATAATCTTGGATAACGTTAATGATAAATTAGACTTGAATAGGTTAGGGATTCCGGTTGATGATGATTATGGCTTAAGAAATAAAAATAAGTTAAGCATAAGGTCAAGTAACCCAAGTCATAAGCAAAGTCATGATTCCATATTTGGTCCTCCTAATAAGCAAAATCATGACCAGACACAGGATACAATCAACAACATAGGAGATACTGCTGAAAAAGTGCTAAAAAAAGCAAATTTTCTTAGTAATTATAAGGGATGCAAAGTTTTGCTTTCTTCACGTGATAAGAAACTATTTCCTGATGAGGTTGATGTTGAGTCGATTTTTTGTTTAAAGGAATTAGATGACAATGATTCCTTGAGGTTGTTTGAAAAGGAGGCTGGTGGAGGTAATAAAATGTCTATGCCTAAAGAAGAAATAAAAAACTACTGTACAGGGATACCGATGACAATAATTAGATTTGCAAAGAGATTTAAAAGCTGGATTGAGTCAGAAAGCGAACCTACGCTAGACAAATTTAAGGTGGAATGGGAAAAGTCTACAGAGATTACTAACGAGGTAAAATATGATTTTCCAAAAAACGAGGAGCTCAAGTTCATTTACTTGCTTTGTGCTCAAATGGGTCCTCTACCCCTAATTATGGACTTGGTGAAATATTGTTTTGGATTGGGTATATTTGAAGGAGTCTCATTGCTTAGTGAAGCTCGACATAAAATAAATAAATCAATCCACGACTTAAAAGACTTGGGTTTGGTGTCGTACAAAAGCCCTAATACTCATTTCATGATGTCTCATATTATTCGAGGTGATGCTTTAAGTAATGCACACAAGGATCACAATATTTTTGCTTTGAGAGATGGCAAACTAGATGATTGGCCCGAGCTTGAAAAGTGCACTTCAATTTCTATATGCAATAGTGATATTATTGATGGGCTTCCTCGATTCATCAATTGTCCTCAACTTAAATTTTTGCAAATAGATACTAGTGATCCATCTTTGGAAATACCTGAGAGTTTCTTTAGAAGAATGAAAAATTTGAAAGTTTTATTGTTGACTGGTTTTCATCTATCAAGCTTACCATATTCAATTGAATGTCTATCGAACCTCAGAATGTGTTCTTTGGAGCGGTGCACTTTAGATTGCAATTTATCTTTATTAGGAAAGTTAAAAAAATTAAGGATTCTTAGTTTCTCTGGATCTCAACTTCAAAATTTGCCAGTTGAGTTAAGATACCTGGATAAGTTACAACTATTAGACACCAGTGATTGTTTCGAGTTGAAGATTATTCCACCTAATCTTTTATCAAGTTTGACCTGTTTGGAAGAGTTGTACATAAGCAAAAGCTTGATCAAAATGTTCATTGAAACAAATACAAATAAAGATCAAAATTCATTTCTTTTTGAACTAACAAATTTGCATAAGTTGAAAGTGGTAAACTTAAGCATCCCGTGTCTTTCAAGTTTTCCTAATCAATTGTTCTTTGACAAGTTAAAATATTACAAGATTGAGATTGGAGATTTTGAAATGATTTCTGTTGGAGAATTTAGGATGCCCAATAAGTATAAAGAACTCAAAGTATTGGCATTACAACTGAAGGACGACACTGATATTCACTCCCATAAAGGCATAAAATTGTTGTTTAAAACAACACAAACTTTGTTGTTGGGAAAGGTAGGTGTTCAAAATGTTGTTAATGAGTTGAACATAGATGGGTTTCAGGATTTGAAACACTTATCCATCATAAATAATAATGACGTCAAATATGTCAACTCAACGTATTTGTCTAATTGTGTGAACATTTTTCCCAACTTGGAATCTCTATGCCTCTGCAATATGATGAACTTAAAGATGATATGTGATGGTCCAATTACACTTGAATCATTTGCTAAATTAAAAACCATCAAGGTTGAGATGTGTTACCAACTGGGAAATCTCTTCTCCATCTATGCAACTAAAATTTCTACTAGCACAAGAACAAGTGAGATTTTTGAACGTAATTCTTCCATGAAGAAATTTCTAGCTAGTTTAGAAAAGATTGAGGTTTGTGAATGCAAATCTTTGAAGGAGATCTTTCAAATACCAATGGATTGTGATAAGGTTGAGTTTCTCAAATTACGCACTTTGACACTCCAATCATTGCCATTATTTACTTGTTTTACCAAAGTCAGGAGATCTTGCTGGTTACATTCAGCAGAGACTCAAACTACAAATAGGGATCACACAAAAATTTCTACTGACGAAGATGACCATAGTGACACTGTGCCTCCTCTTTTTGGTGAACTAGTATGACATTACATATTTTTCATATTTATTTAAATAATTAGTTCATTTGTTGAAAACATATTAATTGTGTATCTCTTTACAGGTTGAAGTTCCAAACTTAGAGAACATGAATTTGTTCTCACTCAACATCTATAAGATATGGAGTGACCAACACTTGTCAAGTTTCTACTTTCAAAACTTGATAAGGTTAGTTGTGAAAGATTGTGATAAATTGACACATCTATGTTCATTACCTATGGCTAGCAGTTTGAAGAAGTTGAAAAGCCTCATCATAAGTGGATGTTTTGTTATGGAAAATATTTTTGAGATTGAAGGAATTAGTGCAGACAAGGTATGTATTGGTATAAATACCTTTTTGTTTATCTTTTATTTATATGTAATAATTGTTTGTTTTCATTAAAATGAAGGTTTGTGTCTTTCCTAAACTGGAGGAAATCCACCTTAGCAACATGAAGAGATTAAGAGATATATGGCATACTAAAGTGAACATTGATTCTTTTTCTAGTCTCATTTCGGTGAACATTGAAGAATGCAATCAATTG